CTTTGTGGGGGTTTCTTTGCGGGGGCTTCTTTGTGAGGGTGTCTTTGTGGGGACTTCTTTGCTAGGGTGTCTTTGCGGGGGCTTCGTTGCATGGGTTTCTTTGTGGGGGTTTCTTTGCGGGAGCTTCTTTGTGAGGGTGTCTTTGCGGGGGCTTCGTTGCATGGGTTTCTTTGTGGGGGGTTATTTGCTGGGGGCTTCTTTGCAAGGGTGTCTTTGCGGGGGCTTCTTTGCGTGGGTTTCTTTTTGGGGGCTTCTTTGCAAGGGTGTCTTTGCGGGGGGCTTCTTTGTGTGGGTTTCTTTGCGGGGGCTTCTTTGTGTGGGTTTCTTTGCGGGGGGCTTCTTTGTGAGGGTGTCTTTGCGGGGGCTTCTTTGCAGGGGCTTCTTTGCAGGGACTTCTTTGCGTGGGTTTCTTGCCGGTAGATTAGCTTCACTCAGGCGTCCTCTAACTGTCACAATCCTCACCGTTATCTTCAGACCTTCATCGATCACCCTGGAGCACATCACTTGATGAGTCTTTCCGTTCAGGCTCTTCTTCAATGGAAGTCTTTCATTATCGTCCACGTCTTTCTGGTTTTACTTTCCATTTTAAATAACTGGCAATCATTTTAGCTAAGCAGAAAATCATTTTCTGCACTTCTTTACAAGTTTTCCCTCTCCAATCAACGTTTGAATCAAAGTACGCTGTTCTGCTGAACTACCGTTGTTGTGAGGTTTTAAGAGAGAAGTGCACGTACAGCATGCTTTGGTTCATCCTTAGATAAGGTACAGACCACCTGATTCCACAGAAACAATGATCTCAGTAGTTGAATGCCACACTGGAACATGCCTCCTTTTAATTATTCAGTCACACAGACTCAGGAACGAGAACATACTGAATGCTGGTTCTGTTGGGCTTCTATTACTCTACGACATCACCTACCAGTAAATTACTTACCAAGTGGTAAAATGATTTCCACCAAAAATAGCGATTGATCTGGTTGGACTGCTGCTGTCTCTTAACACAACTGCACATTGTTGAATATAAATATGTTTTATGTGTTACATTAAATTCATGTTCTGATGATCCTTCTGATCACCTACCCAACATGGTGGTACCAGCAACCTGCACCGTCAGTCAATCCTTCAAATACCTCAATCTAAATCATGTTTCAAATCATTCTAAGTAGCACAAAACGTTCAGACTTGAAAAAATGGCATTTTAAAATGTTTCATGTGGACAATGAGCTGCTGAAATCTGATGTTATTGGTTTTCTGTGGAGCTTGAATGAAGCATTATGTTGGAGGCTGCTGTAGCTGCAGTGCAGCAGCAGAAGTCACTCATGACACTTTGAATCTTTCTCTGGTTCATAAAGGAAGAAGCCTCAAACGCTTCATGAGGATTCATCCGCCCAGCTCTAGTGCTGATAAATAAACTGCACCTCCAGAATTTGTCCATATTTCATGTTCTGACAGAACCATCGCAGGATTATAACAACTCTTTTCATACAATGTCTTATTTTCAGACACTAACCTGTGCTGAGTGAGCCGGCCGTGGCGTGACCCTCCACAATAAGGCACTTCCTGGTATCACAGTCACAGTTTCCTGAACGTCTGGCAGGTCGTCAGCCTCCTCACCTTCGCAGCTTCGCTCCTACACACAGATCCAGATGAAGAACACCACGAGTTCAACAGGTGATCCCTAGAACTGCAGCTGTCACAAACCCAACAGGCAATTGAAGACTAGAGCCCGACCGATATATCGATAGGGCTGATAATTTAGGCCGATATAGATGTTTGGGAACCTATCGGTATCGGCGATAATGGTCCCATTATTAGCTGATATAAACACTTACAATTTTAACCCCTAAAATGTTGGAACCAGCTGTAATTGTACAATGTATCCAGAAGAGGACGCATGAAGACTTTCAAGTCATGGCGTTCGTTTAAGTTTCACTTTAACATTCAGCACAGACGAAGCAGGGAGAACTACTGTGTGGAGTATTTTACTGAACAGAACATGTTAAGTTTATTTCAACTGTTGTGTAAATTAAGAAATGTCCACAATAATAAATTTTCTTCAATCGTCCAACCTGTTTGTTGTTAGTTTTGTGCCTCTCAAGTTAGCAAGTTAATGGTAGTGTGGGCACGCTGTCCTCAACACGTGACTGTGAAGCTAGACAGTGAATAAAACAAAGTCCTCAGACAAGGCTTGCTTTCTTGATTTTACTGAAGATCTTTTATTTATGAATTTGTAAAAAGACTAACAACTCCCAAGGCACCAGCATGTGGGACACATTTAGCGTGTATGAGCTGTTTTCTCCTATTTATTTTCTGAAGCTCGTTTTACCGGAGAAGACGTCAAAGATTGTTCTGTGGCGATAGGACTCACTACCTCACGTGCTGCACATACAACATGACAAAGATTAGAAGTCTCACTCTGATTGGAATTCAATCCCAAAATATTTTAACAGTTTTTAGCATGAATTTACTTAAAACTAATTATTAACTATGAACTTATCACCTCATTTATGTAACTTACGTGATAAACTTATTACTGTCTTTGAACAAAAGGCAGCTCAGTGGGACTAATTAAAGCCTATTAGCTTAGCTTCATGGTTGCTAACAGCTGTGCTAAATAAACAAGCTCTGCTCTACTCACTGTTTACTGAGATTCTTGGGGGAGGACAAAACAAAACAAATTTCAGCCATTACATTGTTTATCGGCGGTCGACTAATCCTCCCAATTTTGGTATTGGTGATAGCCAAAATTTCCATATCGGTCAGGCTCTATTGAAGACATCATGGTTCAGTGCTGATCTAATCATTCACAACACTCTGAACCTAAGTGGACAGCAGTACACTAAACACATTAACCTTACCTTGATGCCACTGTGTTTTTGTGAAAAGAAAAGATGGCGTTTCAGTCACATGTAAAACATCTGGAGGACATTTCATCTCAGCAGACACCTGAAGTCGTCCTCACCTGTTTCAGCTTCCTGGAGTCGCTGCTGGGCTTCTTTTCTGACTTCCTGTACGTTTCGTATAGCTTAGGGTCCACACTGTACATGCACTCGGTCCACTTTCCATAGATCACACTCCGCTTTTTCTTACTGGTTGAAACAACAATGAGAGTTGTTCAGAGACGAGGCCATCAGGTCCACTTGATGCTGAGCTGCTGGGCTCTCACCTGCTGTCCTGGATGTAACCTTCCACTTTGTGAAGGTCTTTTCCAAACATCCCACAAGACTTGAAGTTTAAAACACACTTGTCTCCGGTGCTGAGGAGTCATGGTAAACATGAGTCATCAGTAGTGTCTGGTCCACAAAGATCCAAAGGTGGAGTATCAGTGAGAGTACCTGTGGTTGATGATCTCCACCGTTCCATACTGTTCAATCCAGAGTTTTCCCAAAATGACGTTGTGCACACAGCACATTGGATTTGTCCATGTGTACACCTCTTCATGCCTGAGATGAAATCACAGAGACACAATCTGACATGCTGGAAATGAATCAGTCTGAAGCTGCGACAAGCAGCTCTGAAGAATCAAACCCAGGAGAAACCATACCACTGTTCAGTCACCACAACAATACTGAAACAAAGACTATCAGGACAAGCGCCGGCATACCAATGTCCCCTGATGTCCCCTAATGTACACCAATGTCCCCTGATGTACAAACCGGATTCAAAAAAAGTTGGGACACATAACAAATTGTGAAAAAAAACTGAATGCAATGATGTGGAGGTGCCAACATCTAATATTTTATTCAGAATATAACACAAATCACAGATCAAAAGTTTAAACTGAGAGAATGTATCATTTTAAGGGAAATATCTGTTGTTTCCAAATTTCATGGCGTCAACAAATCCCAAAAAAGTTGGGACAAGTCCATTTTTACCACTGTGTGGCATCCCCTCTTCTTCTTACAACACTCAACAGACGTCTGGGGACAGAGGAGACCAGTTTCTCAAGTTTAGAAATAGGAATGCTCTCCCATTCATGTCTAATACAGGCCTCTAACTGTTCAATCATCTTGGGCCTTCTTTGTCGCACCTTCCTCTTTATGATGCACCAAATGTTCTCTATAGGTGAAAGATCTGGACTGCAGGCTGGCCATTTCAGTACCCGGATCCTTCTCCTACGTAGC